ACTGACCCGCCACCCCCGCCCGCCCGTGCGTTGAGAGGGTGGGAAGTTTGGGGGATGTGTATTCACTAATTAGGGGGGGGGTTGATTGTGGGACAACACTGTCTTAAGGTTATGGCCCATAATCTACGATGCTGGTCCACTGCCAATTGGTAGATATATGTTTTCTTGATTTTCTTTATTATAGGACTGAGAGAACCACTCTGCCAGCTTCCATGCCTAAAGCCTCCCAACTCCTAGTCCAGCATTTTAACCACTATACAGTACATCACCACCATCATCATCATCATCATCATCATCATCATCTCCAACTCCTATTGTAAATCCTTTGATGTGGTATAAGTAACCATTTTAAAAAGACAATAATGCTCAAAACTGTTGCACTCAACTAACCCCGCCTGACATAAACAAGTCTCTAGAAAGAACATTTATGTTCACAGGATTTCACTTACAAGTTGTATCCCTGCCAGGTCCATGTCACAGTATCCTGGAGGAATTAAAGCAAAAAAGAGAGAGAAGTTATTAGAACATATGATCACAAAATGAATCAAGGCCAGGAAGTAAAGATTTTTCAGTCGCAAGCTGGAGGCTATGACGAGGAGGAAGGTGTGGTTTTGTGTTTTGAATAAAGCTAGCCCCAAACAGCTTTTAAAGGTCTCCACCAAATCTAAGGGCAGAAAGATTGGGTGGGCAATTTTGCTGGATTATGGACAAAGAAATTCTCTAACCATTTTTTTAAAGACAGGACTCTCTCTTAGCAATAACAGCTGCATTGCTATTGACCCCCCACTCCCCAGGAGGAATTCCCTCCTGATGTGGTCATTTGTGATTGAATTTTAATGTCAGAAGTCAAGGAGGCTAGAAATCACTCGGGAAGGAATGGCAGAATGAAAGACAAGACATTCACACACACGTTTGGCCAATGGGTCACTACGTCAGTCAAGAACCCCACACTTCCCCCATGAGAATTTCTCTGAAATTCTCCGAAATTCTCACGTCCTCTGAAATAAAGTTAGTGGAAGATGGTAACGTTTTTGCATCAAAAACCGGTACTAGAATGATAATTCCCAGAATCCCCAGCCAGCATGATAGAAGGAAATGCTTCCATATGATGTCCACACAAGCAGTGAAGGTTAATCATTCCTTCAGTGATGGATATATGAAAGGGACAAGCATGATTTCTCAACTGAAATTCACGTTTCATCTTGCCTCCTTTACATCTGAGCTAATTTACCGGTCACCAAAGTGTGCAAAGGAATTTCGAGAGAGAACCTCTATCTAAATTCAGAACTTACCAACTTGTTGGGGTATCGAACTAGCACGGGCTGAACAGGAACAGCGGGAATAAAAGCTCCTGAAAATAGAAGTAGTTTGTTGAAGGTGCCTGTATCTCTGGCTTGAGACTCCAGCACTCACAGAAAGTATGTAATATCTTCTTACCATGAAATGAAATGAACACGACGAAAGTTCCCCAAATGCCATTTTGGATTTCACCAAGTCCCCCATTTTCTATTTCCCCCATGACATCCATAACGAGTTGCTTGGAAATGTCTGACATGCGTACTTAACTGTTCCTTCTGGTTTTCAAAAATAAGTTATACAGCAAAGCCTTCCTCACCTTGTTTAAAAGTGATCAAACATGATCGGTTTGTACATGTGCCTTCTGGGAAAATCAATACCTGGAATGCAGGAAAGAAAAAGGAAGGAAGGAAGGAAGGAAGGAGAGAGGGAGGGAAGGAGGTAAAGCAGAAACACAGAGATGTCATTAATGTTTCATTGTTCTGCAAATTTGGCAATTCCTGCTTCAGGCCTGGATTGGTGATGATTCTTTCACAAAATTGTGGGGAAAAAAAATAGCAGCTGAGGAAGCTGATTAATCCAACTCCTAGAGGAGGACAATTAATTCCTGGAATTTCTGGTACAGACTAAACCATAACCTACTTTGAAGGTTTGTTTGTTTAGCTGTAGCTACGCTGTCCTACATTTCTAGATCTTCCAGAAGGTGGACAACTGCAAACCAAGCTATTGAATGTGAGATCGCATCATTTCTTGCCAGTGGCTATATTTGCTGGAGATGAAGGAACTTGGAGTCCTTATCTGGCTACCTGCAGTTTAGGTACCCATCTCTGTGTCCTGCCTGCCTTCCAACACTTGATGGAAGTTTCCTTTCCCTACAAATCAAACTCAGTTTGGCTCTGCTCTCCTTTAAAAGACATTGGAAAACACTGCATTACAACAGGGTGTCAACAGTCCAAGTCTTTTTAGAAGATAAAATATCCGCTTTCTGCCCTCTGACAGAGTTCCGTTCCACATATGAGGCTTAAAAAAATATGTGCCCTCACCTGTTAACTGGTCCTTTTGCCTGTATAAACCAAGATCTAACCAAGATCTTTAGCAACCTGATCCCATTTTCTGCTCTTGGGGCATAGTCCACTTGATTCTAGATGGCTTGAGGGAACCCCTTCCATCTGATCCCATCCACCCCACCATTGCTAAGATCATCCCAGGAGATTCATCCATGGTTGTCAAGATATTGACTCTAGGAGTCCTAGAGTTTCTAGAAGTTTCTGGAAAGCTTCTAGAAAGAGCTTTGGGGCAGCTTTTTAAAAAACCTTGAAATACACAGGCTGTTAATGGTTGATTATAGTAACACTGGTTTTAGGTTTTGACTGCAAATATATACAAAGGGCCTTCTTAATTATATCTATCTATTCATCTATCTAGCTACCGAAAAGTTTAAACACTGGGAGAGTCCAGTAAAATCCTTTCGTGCCACTAGAGGGCGCTCTAAATTCAGGCTGTTTTCAGCTATAGACATGAATTAGCAAGCCACCCAATTTCTCCTAAGGGATAACCTCCAGATACATTAAGCTACAATTCCCATTCTATCTTATACCCTCTGGAAAAGAAATGGCATTTTTAACTAGCAGGCATAACAGAGTCCTGACTTTGGTGGGCATATTTAGACCTATCATCTGGATTTACACATATCCATGCTTTGGGTAATAAACCAGAATTGGCCCCATCCACTAAACGTGGCTGAATTTGTGTATCACACTAAGATTCAGTTGCTTTTGGCTCAGCACAATGTCTGAACCTATCCAACCGTAGCTTTTTCAACAAACTGTGGTTGAGCAGCTGAGAAGTACCATCAAATTAGTGTCAACTCGGGAACTACATAGATCGATGTTCTCCAGGATGACCTGTCTTCAGCTTAGACTAGGCGTAAAGCCACAGTCTGGACAGAATATGGTGAAACAGACTGGCTCCAGTTGGCCAAGGAGTGTGACAAGTCTGCATATTCTCATCTTATTTATTCCACCTATTTGTTGAATATATATTGAGGGAAGCTGGATTTAAAATTGGAGGAAGACACATCAACCCGGGCTATGCTGATGACACTACCCCAATAGCTGACAATGCAAATGATCAACAATGTCCAATTCTAATCCACTTCAATCTGCTGATGACACCTTCAGTTTAGTTATGAGAGAAGGTTCACCATGCATGACCACATTAATGCCACCATACGAAGTGGAATGAAATACCCATCATTACATAATACCATTTCTTTTGCTTTTTCCATGCAGGAACTTACCCGAACTTATCCTATTTTTGCAAACGGGATGGAAGGAACCCAAATGTATAAAGGAAATGTGATGTTGGAGAAAACCAAATGGGCAGATTCAGCTTGACCTGGCCGTTGAGGATTTGAAACAATTCCCAAACTGTTTCTTCTAAAGGTAGCTCAGCTTTTCTGCAGTAAAGTGAACCTGCCTTCACCCAAAACTTTCCAAAGGTCCTGAGAGCTTTAAGAATGGCTGAGCTGAAGAAATGGGAGGTGGTACCTGAGGCCATTGCTCTCCTGAGGTTGCCCGCTTAGTTATTTCATGGATAGTATGCCTCCGTGAATCAGGGTCAGTTCGGGAGACCACCACAGGCTGGAGTGCATCAAGGAGCCCTGTTGAAAAGAGATATTTGCAAAGAGGTCAGCTGGGAAGAGAAAGGATGGTAGGAAAGGGGTTCACACACTTGAGTTTTGCTGAGACACCTACTGCCAAGAATGGGTGCCAAGAGATTTTCTTCCCTGGATACCACAGAGGGCAAGCCCGCCACGACACAAATGATGCTGTCGAAGAAGCTTGAGTGTGGGGCTGCTGCTAAGATTGGTGCCTCTTGAGGACTGGCGACTTTGCCTTTCACTTTGACATGGAAGCCCATCATGAAGAACAAGGCCCGGCCGAAGAAGACAAGGGCGGTGCTGGATACTCTCCTTGCACAGAAATAAAAAAGATACTTGTTGCTTTACTTATTCCTAACCCATTCTTCCTAAGTTCATCCTCAACTGGGGGGGGCATCATTCCAGCAGGTGATTATTTCCCAGTGACTGAAGTTCATAACCGTGACTCATGTTAAAATACACACAAATCAATATGCGGAGTTTGTGGGGCTTCCAGACGTTTTATTACCCAACGAGGCAACGAATCAGTGGGAAGGGGTGTGGGGTTTTCTGCCTGTTGATATCTCAGCATACCGTCATATGCTGTCTGTTTATACCTACAAAAATCAATATATTTCAACACATACAGAGTAATAATAGGCACCAATCAGGAAAACAAAATGGGTTGTGGTTCAAGCAGAAGATTTTCCTGGGAGACACGAGGGGCAATGAACTCTCCAATCTTTGAGAGTAAGGAGAGAAGACCAGGCTTGAAAGACAGATGGTGTTATCCTTGGTTCACAGGCTAATAAAATTAGAGATGATTGTGTTAAAAGCCAGCTGCAAGCTTTTCTGTTAAGAATGAAAGACCTGCCGTCTTACTGAATCACAGAAGTATTGTTAGAAAGACAATTTTTTAGAAGTTTCTTCTCTAATGTGCAATGAGGAAATGTTGGTTCTGAATAAGTGGGAAATACTTCAGTTGCTGGATTTTTTTTTCTTTTATGGTAATATTACAAATCTTGATACCTTGTATGATTTCAGTGCAGTAGTGTTGACATCATACCATTCAAGAATGACTAACATTCCATTATTTACGAAGCTCGAAGTATTGAAAATAAAAACAGAAAAGTAAAATTTCTACCAATATTAATGGCCATTTAGTTGGTGGAATTCTTGTAACCCCATCTCTTTCTGCTCCATCAATTTGGCTAAAGAGAAGTCTAACCACACTATTAACCCCCCCCCAAAAAAAACCCCACAACCCAAACAAACTCATAAAGCCATGCAATTATGAAAACTGCGCAGTTGCAATAACACTATAAAACAAGGCAGTAGAATTCAGGGCAAATAATAAAGTCAATATTTGCCCTTGGTTACAAGACCGGGCAGCAAAGGAAACTAACAGGATGCGAAACTATGAGGAATGACTCAGTCTGTCTACCTCACAGAGGAAACATCAAACAGGTCATTCAATTTTTTCTCCGTTACGTGACAGCAGCTACCATGCTCTGCTAGCCAGATAAACATATTGGGCAATCATGCTCCTGTAGGGTTGGGTAGAAAACAGCTATTGTTAAACTCGGTGAGAAAGTTATGTTCTCTATTCATTATGCTGGCCTGGCCAATTAAAGTCATGTTGGGGGCTGCTGAAGCAGGAAATCTCAAAACCCAGAAGGTGGGAAGAAGTCACAAGCTTAGGACATCTCTCTGCTTCTTCCTCCTCGCTGCAATTTCATTATCCAGGCAGAAGACTCATTTTTCTATATTTAGTTTTCCGGTTGCAATGGTGAAACCCCTCCTAGAAGCAGTGTTACGTAGGGAAACCTGAGTCCTGTACTCAAGATTGTACTTTGGTACTGTAATGCTACATGTCAGCTAGCATTGAAACACACATCTTTCGATATGAAAAAAAGGAAGCTTAGAGTCGTGCGGATTCACCCAACTTTCAAAACCCAAAGGACAAGAATAGGACATTGCAAGCCTTGAGTTCTGCTTGCTATAAATAAGAAAAATTAAGTCCAACATGGCATATTGGTGAGAGCTTTTAATCCAGTTCTACTCAGGAGTAGGCACTGTTGGAATTTGGATAGATCTCTTTTGTTATCTGTAGGCCTCTGAGCACCGTTTGGTTCCTAAGCGATGTGTACAAACCCAAGCAGGAGGTGATTTCCCTTAGAATCACGTTTCATTTCAGGGCAGAATGAAAACTAAGAAGTATGTTGCTGATAATAAATATTCCATGAGTCAGTTACCTTAACTATCACACGTTCTGCGATGCCTTCATGAAAAGAAAAATTAAAATCTCTAGATATTCTCCATAACCGTGTTACCTTTTCCATCCTTGAAGGGGCACCGTGCCTTTTTCAGGGATCCAGGATGTCGCTAGAACCGCAAAAGGCCAGGCCATTAACAAAAGGAGCAGTATGCCCACAGCACGCAGAGGGAGAAGAATAAGGCCCAACAAGAAAGCCTGGGAAAGAAGTGACAAAGTTAAGAAGACATCTGGACAACTTCTGGGATTCATGACTTACTGTACATTTGACAATGTGCATCAGGGAACAATCTCAGTCGTATCATTTCCAGCCAATCCAGCGATAAGATCCAGGTTAACTAACTCAGTCTACTGCACTTGACTTTTGCAACATGGAGAAACTTGAGTTTGCCTTAGTATCAGATTTAGACCCAGATGTGACTAGGGCATTTTCAGAAGGATACACTCCACCTGAGTTGTGGGGTGCCAAATCTGGATAGAGCCCACAGTGGAGGAGTAGGAAAACTGGTCAATATGCTGTGTGTTGAGGCCAAGGCAAGGGTTGTCCTACACTGGAAGTTCTTTCTCAGTGGGATACATGGAAGGAAGAAGCTGCTTTTGCAGAGAGAGAGAGTCAGGAACAGGATTTCTCTTCTCAATCCCCATTTTTTGCTATCTTCTGGCCCACCAAGGTCCATATTTCCAATATCACTGTCTACTCTGTACTTCCAAGGGCTGAGGAGTTCAAGGCTGGTGCAAACCACCAGATATGGTCTCTCTTCAGATGAAAGTGCAAGCTTTCCTTTTTCATGACACTTATTTCCTTCAGCAAGATCCAATCAGCACATTCACTCAGACCTGACACCAGTTCCTCAGAGAAAAAGAGTCCATGCCCAAGATTCCTTGAGCCAATGTATGCTCCCTGTTTTGCCACCATTATTGCTCCCAATCCCCGTAGGATGGCATCACTGGCTACAAGCTCTGTTGAGGCATCGTTCAAACCCAAGCGAGATTCCCAGGTCCAGCCATTTTCCTAATATTTCATTTAGGACACACTGGCTGTCTTCACAGAACTTGTTTCAACTTGTCTGCTGGATTAAAACTTGTTCTAGGTTGATATTATCCACTGAATTATAAAATAACCAAAGTTAAAGTTAACAAGCTTTGTGGAGTCCTTGGGGTTCTCTGAGCTTGGCTGTGTTCTTCCAGACGTTTTGTTACCCGTCTAGGTAACATCTTCAGTGCTGGCATTACCCGTCTCGGTAACATCTAGCACTGAAGATGTTTCCTAGCTGGGTAATGAAATGTCTGCAAGAAAACAACCAAGCTCAGAGATCCCCAAGGACTCTACAGTTCAACCCTGAGCTACAGATATTCCCTTCTTTCGTTAACAAGCTTTGCATGTTATACAAATGAAGCTGCTGGGTCTTTCACTGATCTGGCTAAGTGTTTTGTGTAAACTCATCTTTTAAGCAATGCCTCTGGGCTAAGAGCCATCAATTTGGTTGAACAAGAGGAAACAGTTGACCACCAAGTATTTCTGAACACATATTTTCTCAAGAGCACTTCAAATACAAATCAACAGGCCTGGTTTGTTTTTCCTAAAAAGGGAAGTTCCTTGGATGATATGACAGAATGAGAACCAAGTTCAGGGATGGATGAAATGAACAGTCTGATCGCATCACATCTGAATGCTGGTGATGCAACAACCCAAACACCAAAAGATGACTTGCACGCGAAAATTAATTATTATAGCTCAAAACCCAGCATGGATGGAACTCCTTGCCACAAGATCCAGTGATGGTCACTAGCTTTAAAACCAGAGCTTTGGGGAATTCATGAAGGAGAGATTATGAGTAAATAGAGGGTGAACAAAAACTTTGAAAACTTAAGTAACTTTTAATGTCTCAGGTTAGGATTTAATCCATTAACCAGTTGCAGAGTGATATAGAAAATAATGTCCTAATTAATAACAGTAACTCAATGCTACCCACTCTAGTGAAGCAGAAGTGGGTGGGCAGGTTTAATGTAAATTTCAGAAACCTTTCACTCATAAATAGTAAGCTGCTTTGTTTCAGGATAGGGTTTCACTTGGCAAATGTCAGAAACATTAAATATTAATTTAAAAGTATACTCATATGTGACCCAGCACCAACGTCTTAGCAAAAAAGACTTTTTCTGCAATGCTTAAGACAGACAATGCATTGTAGAAATGTATTACTAATTCACTGCAAACTTTTTTTAAAAGGAGGAGGGAGGGAGGGAGGGAGGGAGGGAAGGAAGGAAGGAAGGAAGGAAGGTTGGTTCTTTGAAATGTCATCAGTGATTAGTAAGGGTCTGAACATCAAAAGTTCAGTTCAAAGTTGGGCTAAATGAAGAAGCCAGGGTGGCAACGTGAACATAAAGAGGAGGACCTGATGTTCCTTACTTCCAGGTTAAAAAATGTCAGATATGGGAAGAGATAACCTGAGATAGTAAGGGTTATCTATTTTTTAAATATTAAATTAAATCACACTTTTCTTCCTATAAACAGGTACAAAACAGGTACACTGCAAAGGGACAAGTGGGCTGAAGCTTTAATTCTGTGCCAAATCACAAACTAGAGCAATTAGTATCCCTGCAAGGTCTACCATCTCTATTTGTAACCTGCAGCTAACAGCTTTTTTTTTTCTTTTTTTCCCTTCCTTCAAAGATGACGCGCTTCTGAGGATATTGTTAAGTGGAATGCAGATTGCTCACCAGGGAAGTTATGAAATATTCTTCTGCCTGGGAGAGCTTTTCAGATCTGCCCAGTGCCCACAAAACAAACTTCAGATACCAGGCTGGAGGACTGAAAGATGCCAAAGGGTGTGTTCCAAAACTGAGAAGATGACAAATTCGCTGCAAGAAACTACCATTTCTTAGGAGTACAAAAGACCGTTTTTGAACTGCATTGCTCCTGCAATGTCCAGAAGGCATTTTCAGAACAGGATACCCACTTGCTTGTGGCTGGTTTTGACCTGGCCGCATTTTTCTGCACCATCCCTTTAAGCAAGTAGGGGCATTCTACAACTCAGTGTTTCTCAAGCTCAGCAACTATGAGACGTTAAATTTCTTTAAAGATACATTCTTTAAATTCAAATATAAATTCTTTAAAGATTTCTTTAAAGATCTTGAAGTTGCTGAGCTTGAGAAACACTGCTCTAACTGGAAAGGAAAAACCACTTGGAGTTTATTTCCCCAATAGACAGCGGAACATTTACTTGCAATTCACAACAGCCCAGCGATTACAGAGTTCTCGAAACAGATCCTTCCCTTCCCTTCCCATCAAGACATGACCTTACCATGCTCAAACCCCACAATGCAAAAAGGAACATCCGAGGAGTTACAGGAATTAAGCCACAGGGGATCAGCCATGTGGCAATTCCTCAATTACAGTAAACTAATCTTGCAACTAGAGGAAAGAAGGAGGTAAGATCACCCAAGGCATCTAGGATAATTCTTGCAGAAAGGAAGGAGCATTTATTGGTTGTAAGCTACTGCCAGCCAGATGCTGTCAGCCTTGTGAGGTAGTCCAGGCAAGAAGCACATCCAGAAGTATTAGCTCTATCTTTATTGTAAGGTTATATTGACAGAATCTTGCAAGTCTGAAAGGACATCTCTCCCCCTTCGTCTTTACACTCCAAGAAACTAGGGAGTGTCCCTTCTCAGACATTTTTCACACCCCCGTTTCCTTCTGTGGGCTCAGCAGCCTCTTATCTGACCGTTGTCTAGTCTGCAGCTCTTCCTCCTGTCTCCCAAGGTCATTCCCACAGACTGTTACACTTGTGAAGGAAAGCTCTTTATGCATTGTTACCTGGTGGTAAATGAAATAGCTCATCTGGTTCTCACTGGGACACCTGCAGGGAGTTTTCTTTAAAGTCCCATCTGCCAAGCTAAGAAGCTAGAACTCGCATATCAAATTGTATTTTTGGCCAGGGTTGAGCAACTTTTGAGTGTTGGTGGTTGCATTAATATTGGGGAGAAGGAAAGTGCCAATGGGAGTGAGTTTCATTAGGGACCGGGCTGGGATTTCCCCTTTTAATACAGGCTGTCAATGGAAGAGATGATTTCTTTTTTTAAAAAAAACTGTATTAAGCCTATTTGGAGCTTACATTATAGCTTTTCTAAGTTTCCTGCCTCAATATAGCAGAAAACCAGGCCACCCATGTTTGGTAATTGTGCTTCTGAATTTCAGTGATTCAGTGAAACAGGGTACTGGAGCTGCTAAAAATGAATAAAAACTTAAAAAAACGAAGGGGCACGAATTGTCCATCCTTGGTCTACAATAAGGTCTCTTTGATAAGCAAGCAAGCAGACAAAAACCACTCGCAATTTTTGGTCTATACTGTATTAAATAAATACAAAAGAAAAAAGGTGGTTTTTCCCCCCCTCTTTGTATTTATGTATTAAAGAGATTTTTTTTTTCTCTTTCTCTTCAATGTGAGATATTTAAATTGGTCCCATGACTTTGTGGATGGGCGGCAGGCAAGATTTTAAGAGTTTAAAACCTTCTGGGAGAAAGCAGCAAAGACTAATCTGAAAGCAATCAAAAATGTCAACTTCCTTTCTTAGAATATCAGGTTGTACCTGTTCCCTGAGAAGAGTTGCAAGCCAAACAACACAGAGGGGAAAACTACAAACTCAAGAGGAGAATTAAATCTCTATGTTTTAAAACTACCCAACTGTAGTTTTGAGTTGCCCCAGCAATGTATAACTAATATTACCAAAAAAAATAGCAGCATTCGCATGGACATTTTTTTTGTGGGGGGGGGAGTGGACTCCCCCATCTTTTCTTCTAAGACTTTTTTATAGGGGAGAATGAATATATTTGCAAACGCTGGGTGTAGAAGAGCACGGAGATAACCTTGAAGAAGGTAGGCAGCAGCCATGACAAAAATATCAGCCTGGCCCAGAAAGACAGGAGCGGGTGAGAAAGAAACTCAAGATTGGCCAGCCTTGACTCTCTTTGGTATAAAGACAGAAGGAATGAGAAACTCTGCCAGGCTTTCCAGATTCTGTAATTATAGCTCGATCAATATAATAGTGTTCTAATATGTCCTGTGGTCTCTGTTTCCTGACCTGGCCTGCCTCAAAGAGCTGACATCAGGATTTCCTCCCAAGCCTGCCATCTGTCCCCAATCCCTGGGAGTTGTTGTCCTGGAGACATTCCAATCTGAACTCCCTGCATCAGCATTAGAGGAGACCTTGTTTGCTCCTGTTTGTCCTATTTCCAGCACAGGCAATTCCCTTTGCAGACGTGGATGAAAATGGGCAAAAGTAGTCTCCGTTTGTCTTG